ACAATAAATAATATATATATATATATATATATATATATAATTTATTTATTTGTAAAAGCATCAATGTCAAAATATTTAAGGACATCAATTTCAGATTCGCAGATGGGCTTTTGAAGACCTTTGCTTCCTGCACCCTCCATAATTTCTAGATACATCTCCATGATTTTTAAAATTATTATTTACAAAGTAACTGCAAAATTATTTGTTTTAAAATGTTTTGAATTTTTTTTTCTAAACATTCTCTAACATAATTTTCAGAAAAATATTTATGTAACAGATATTTTGAAATAGGATTTTTAAAGCAATTCTTTTAAATAGAATTTTTAGAACAATTTTTTAAAATACATATAATAGTTTCCAGAACTAAATTTACAAAATAAACTCTCTAAAATGCATAAAATATGTTTTGAATTATTTTCTTTTGGAATGACGACGGTGCAACAACAGTAATGATAACAGCAATGAGATATTGTAGTAAGAGACACCATTTTAATTTTTCTCTTAGCATCGGGTGCAATTAGTTATAATGTAGGTGCAGGAAGAAAAGTTGTTAAGTTGTTTTCCACTTCCCACAATATTTGTGATAATTCAATCAGTTACATCAACTTAAAACATTTATTTCACTTAAACTTTTAATAATAGACTATTTTTTGTTTTAAATCTATTAATTTATTATTATTATTTTCATGAACTACAATTTCAAGTCATCACATGATAAATGTACATGAATACGAGCGTAGTATATGGGTATGAGTAATTATTGGAATGTACATGAGTCAATTTAGAAAACTTTCATTACCTTTTTAATTCAATATTTTTTTTTTTGGTCCCCGATCAATAAAAAATATCATTAAATCTTTCTATTTTAAAAATGCAATAATACAAAAATGCAACAATATAACTCTCTTAAATTCAATCAAGTTCCTTTGAAATAACTAAATCTTAAAATATATCATTAAAAGGACATTGGACATACATAGTTTTTTTAAATTATGAAAAAAAAAGTTAACAAAAATATCCCTTGAAAACATATATTTTTAAAGTAAAAGATTGAATAATTTTTTGAGAAAATTCTATTTGAAACATAGTTAATAAAATAAAATAAAAATAAAGAATAAATCTTGTGACACATTAAAAGTGCAGCAAAACTTTTGATGATAATTAAACTAAAATAAAAAAAAAATTAGTCATAGTAAAGTATTTCTCTAATAATAATAACTTATGAGTAGAATTGAATTAGAAATATGTTAGAAAATAATAAAATTTGGGTTGAGTGCAACAGAAGTAGACAAAAAAAAGGTATTTGAGGAAGCTAGGTGTATTATTATTATTATGATTTATAATTTTTTACTTTATAAATATAAAAAAATATTTTTTATAACTATTTTACGTTTATATATATGAGTGTCAAATAGTTCAAATAATGTGAAGCAATCTTTTTTCCCTGAATGAACAACTAATGTTATAAAAAGTAATAAGTAAACTTAATAACACCAGAGAGGTGAGAATAGTAAAGGCCATTCAAGGGGTACATAGCCCAGTTTGATGATGACCCATATCCCTATTGCAGAATTGGGTTTAGGGTTTCAATTTCAAGCAAATAGAAAGAGATTATTTTTCTCTTACACTCCAAACCTCTCTGCTTTGTGCTGCATTACTTTGCCTTGCTCCCACAGGTAAGAAACCTCAACAGTTACACTCCAAACCTCTTTGTAACAATTTCTATGGAATTTGTTTTCCCAAAACATATGCTAATTGTAGCACTTTTCTCTTTGAATTTCCATATTCTCTTTGTCATATTACAATTTTGGGGGTTTAATGCCTTTTTAGTTCACTTCGCAGTTGAACATTCTATTAATGGATTTCAATGGAAGATTTGATTTTTCTTGTTTTGTTTTTGTTTTCCTTGTTAAAATCGAATTGCTGATGTTGCAATTCGTGTTTCTCAATTTTTCCAGAAGAGTTAACATACATAGCAAGCATGGCAGTCACATTCTACGACCTTAGTTCTACCTCTGGGTTGAAGAAGCTTGACGAGTACCTTCTCTCACGTAGTTACATCACAGGGTATGGCTTTTATCCATCTTCATTTTGTATTTTTTTTTTGGTAATTTTGTTTTTATGTATTGTTTCATTTCATGTGTTGTTTAGGTACCAAGCTTCAAAGGATGATCTCACTGTCTATGCAGCTTTGCCAACTGCTCCATCAGCAGAGTATGTGAATGTGTCCAGGTGGTACAAGCACATTGATGCTTTGTTGAGAATTTCGTAAGTTTTCTTCCCTTGACTTGCACGCCAATTATATGTGTAATACTTGATATGGATCTGATTGTATTTGTGTGCCAATTTTTTGTGCACAGTGGTGTTTCTGGTGAGGGATCTGGTGTCACTGTTGAGGGAACTCTTGTTGCCGAGCCTGTTGCAACTCCCCCAACTGCTGATACAAAGGCAAGTATCTTTCTCGTGATTGATATTTCAACTGTGGTGCGTCGAATGGCTTAACTGTAATTATTCATTGACATTTGACTGAGTGTAAGTTGATTTTCAGGCTGCTGCAGCTGAGGATGACGATGATGATGATGATGTCGATTTGTTTGGTGAAGAGACAGAAGAAGAAAAGAAGGCAGCTGAGGAACGGGCAGCTGCAGTGAAGGCATCTGGAAAAAAGAAAGAGTGTAAGTTTCAGTTTTGTCATTTACCTCTTATCTTTTAACTTTATCCTGCTTCCTCCGCTGATTATAGCACTTTTTGTGGGCATTGAATTTTTGCTGATTCCATTTTCCAGCTGGGAAATCATCTGTTCTGTTGGATGTGAAACCATGGGACGATGAAACCGACATGAAGAAGCTCGAGGAAGCAGTGAGATCTGTCAGCATGGAAGGGTTGCTTTGGGGTGCATGTACGTCNTAGTCTTTATTCTCACACTATATACTCATGTGAGATGAAGATAAGATAAAAATTATAAATTAACTATTAAAATTGATTTATAATATATAAAAAAAACATTTTTTTAAAATAATTTAGTGATATTGAAACTCTTTTATATTGTCAACATATAAAATGATTTTATAATATATAAAAAAATTTAAAATAATTTTTTAATATATATGTGAAAGATTGAAACTCTTTTATATTGTCAACATATAAAATGATTTATATATATATTTTTTGAATGTGTCAAATGTATCATATTACTCTCTTCCTTGTTGTTATGATTGGTTAAATATATGTAAACTTATGAACCACATATTGGATGGTTTGAATTAGCATGGCTCGAAGTGATGGGATAGTGATCCTTTTAAAAAATAAGAATTCATGATTGAAAATAAAGCAGCACTTTAATCTTGCATATCCAGATATTTGGAATCCATGATGGGATATGCATTTTTTTTGGGAAACATACATGTTATCTTTATGCTTTTTCGTTTTAATTAATTAATCATACTATAGCCTTATTAAAATAATCATTTGGTTTATTAGGGCAAATAAAAGGTTTTAGATTTTGGATTATTTTTCGTCATTGTTTTCTTAAAGAACAATGCCAATATATAAAGCTTCTTAACTCCCTATGCATTACACTAATCTACTTTAACTCTTTAACAAAATATTAACATCAACCTCTTAAGACGTGGTTGTTCTAAACTTATGGAGTATCAATGCAATTTCTTCTTTATTATATATATATATAGGGGTTTGTACGCCTGTTTTTCAGTTGGTACATTTTAGCAATGTGTACCGGGTTTTAGTAGACAAAAATATCCTTATATATCATGGATTCTAAGTTTTAAGGTTAAGGGTATTTTAATAATTTTCATTCTCAAAACTAAAAAAAAAAAAGAAACCCTGAAACCCTTACTCACCTCTTTCATTCCTGTTAATCCTGTTAACCTTTTCTCTTTCATCTTTCTCACTCCAATCTTTTCTCTGTCATCCCTACTATAGCCCCAATTGAAAAAATCAGAAACATCCTACTGTAGCCCCAATTGAAAAAAATCAGAAACACTTGCCGTTAAACAATCTTACAAAAAAATGATTTTATAATGAGTTTTGATCTTATAATTTTTGTCTTATCTAATTTTATC